TAGTACTGCTGGCGCTTGTACACCTCTAGAATGCCTTGACCATCGGTGATTATTTGGGTGATCGGCCGAGGGGGAGCGAGGGAGGAAGCAGCAAGCGCATCGAGGTGCTCGGCAGAGGGAGAGGTCCGAGGGAGACTCCTTGCTACAGGGCCGTAAATCGCTCCTGGTCGGTCCCCTTGGTCATCGATCGCCACCGCTGCAAAACCGACCGCGTGGAAAACGGAGTGTCCCTGCTTGAGGCACGATCCATCAGTGTATACTTTACATTTGAACACATATTGGATGGTCGGCCCCTCTTTACACAACGTCCTTATACTGTGGTACTCATTGCCTAGACCACTTGGGGCTCCCACCGAAAATTCAGGCCTCAGTTCGAAGCCAGCCTGGAGAGGAAACCTGGAAAGGTCCCGAAGCTGGTCTAGCTCGTTTTGTGAAAGCATCTCGTCTCCAAGCGGCGCTGTACATGGGCAGCTCACTAGTCTATGATGAAGGCCATCTTCTCCATGTCCACATCGGCGTTGGGGCTCCGTAGGGTACCCTGCTTTTTGGAGGCAAGGTGTGGGTCCAGAGACGTTGGCAGAGGAACGCTTTAAGAGTAACCTTGTCCGAGTCCGAAATCTAATTGGGATCCCAAAGCTCTTTAGCCGCTGAGGCGTCTAGCTGGCCGTCCACTCTTACCTTGGTGGTCGCCTGCCCCTGCAGCCGCTGCATCCAAGCCTCCTGGAACCAGAACTGGAGGCGAAGGGGAGGTGGTCGTGAGGATGCGAGTCTGGCCCGACTGATCGATCAGCTTGAAGGGTCCAGAGAAACTGCATCCAACTCTGGCCAGCGCCGAATGGTCCTCGGCACTGGCTCCATCTCGATGGAGGGTCCTCGAGCACTGATGCGGCCATGGCACGAAGACCTGGAATATTGAAACCTGGTGCAAACTCTCCTGTCGTTGCACTCCAGAAAAGGATGGGCCAGGAGGGCGGGAGGGAAGGAGGGAGGGAAGAGGGCGGGAGGACGAGGGAGGAGAATGAGGAGGAGGAGGAGGAGGAAGGGGATAGGCGAGGAGGCGTGATTAAGGCTTTTTGTTCGCCATCTCTTGGCGCCTGGTGGCCTCCGCTCGAAACTGTCCGCCCACCCGGCCCCCCCTTTGAGGCTTCCTCGCTCGTCTGCCTGCACACTCGCCCGCCCGCGTCAAAGTCCCGACCCGCCTCTCCAAGTGGTTGGTTCGCACAGCATGGCCCGAGGCATGTGACGAGGGGGAGACCAAAGGACGCATCGAAAGAAGAAGAAGAAGAAGAAGAAGAAGAAAACGAGGGGCCCTAAACCCGGAGGAGATCTCACGGCCCCGGCCATGATATCTCCCCCCTTTCCAACCACCCCCTCTCGGACGCCCCCGAACAACCCCTCTCTGCCACGTGTTTCGCCACGTTTTGTGTTTTTGACGCTTCCGTGGCCAGCCTCTCGGAAACCTAACATTGCACCAAACTTTGAGCCGTGATTGTTTCACGACGCGAGGACGTTCTTGATCGCGCTGGAGGTTGGCAACGTTTCCACGTCATGTAGCGCCAGGAGGATGAGGAGGATGAGAAGGAGGAGGAGGAGGAGGAGGAGGAGGAGGAGGAGGAGGAGGAGGAGGAGGAGGAGGAGGGGGCCCGCCTCTTCCTGCCCCTCTCCTCTTCCTGCGCCCAGCCTCTTCCTCACTTCTCCTGCTCCCCGTTCTCCTGCCCCTCCTCCGCCTCGTCCCCTCCCCCTTCTCCTTCTTCTTGTTTTGTTTTCCCGTGCCCCCTTCAGCAGTTACACGTGAAGAATCTCTCCTCTCTCCCCTGACTTCGTCGGGCAGATATTCGGTCCTCTCCGCGTCGTGTTTGTTTGGGGTACGCAGACGATTTCAAACCATGGCTTCTCTTACGATTTTCTGCGATCCGATTATGTTTTTTTCCAGAGTTTCAAACTGGTGCTCCCGCTGCAACGTGGACCTCAATTTCATATCGGCGGTTTACTCCCGTCGTTCACATTGGCGCTCTCGCCACAGCGCGGACGACTTTTCTGGAGCCGAGTCTTTTTCATATCTGTAGCCTCCCTCATTTCCCCTCCTCCGCCTTCCCTTGGTCCTCTTGCTCCTCCCGCTCATTCCACTCCAGCTTCTGCTGCTGCTGTTCGTCCCCGTCCTCCTCCTTCTTCATCCCCGTCCCTTTCCCCCTAATCATCCTCCTGCTCATCCGACACCTCCTCCTCCAATGTACGAATGTCCATTCTCTCGATTGCGCAGAAAACGACAGGGATCTTCTTGGGAGCTCCAGGTCCGCTGTGACACGCGTCGGCGGAGAGGGGCACAGCAGCGCAACATCAGTGATGGGTGGGAGGGGGAGGAGGAGGAGGAGGAGGAGGAGGAGGAGGAGGAGGAGGAGGAGGAGGAGGAGGGGGAGGAGGAGGAAAAGGAGGAGGAGGAGGAGGATGAGCAGGAGGAGGAGAAGGAGGAGGAGGAGGAGGAGGAGGAGGAGGAGGAGGGGGAGGATGTGGCGCGGGCGCACCTGGCTTCCGAGCAGCTGGGGCAGGAGGCTCGCGACGCACCGAAGATGCAGCGGCGCTGGCGATAATGCGGGATGACGATTGATTTTAAAAATGAGAGAGAACAATTAAACACATAGTTTTCTGCCATTTCTGCAAAATTTTCTGACTGGAGGAGAACGATGAAAAATAGTTTTCCAGCCCGCGGCCGGTCTTTTCTAATCGTCATCCTGGGCGCCGCCGCGTGAACACGACCCCTGGTCATTTATTAATCGTCATCCTCCATTACATTGGCGCAACATCGGTGTTGCACCGGCGACGCCGCGATGCATCGGCGCCATCGGCGCGGAAATTCTGGCCCCACATCGAGCCGCATCGTCCATGCATGAGCGATGCGGCGCGATCCTCCGACACCGCCTGCTCGGACCCCATGTGGGAAGCCTAGAATTTGGTCGGGTATGTCCTCCTACAGGCGGACCTTGGAAGAGAAGTAAAAATAGACAAAAAATACTGGGAGTCCCGGAGCCCCAAAAAGTCCCAAGACGGGTAAAGAGTGCCCCAAGAGGCCCCAAAGACAGTCCAAGAGAACCCCGAATCGCCGAACGATCTGTCCAAGACGCCTTGACGGCCTTCAGACGGCCCAAGAGGCCTGCAAAGCGCCCCAAGAGGCCTCCAGGAGCTTTCCCACGAGAGCCCCAAGAGGCAAAATTCACGGAATTCCCGTACGTTTTTGGAAATTGTTGTCGTTCTCGCCTCTTCCGCTTCCCGACGCGCCGAGACGGCCCTACAGGCCCCCAAGATTGCCCCGAGACGGCCCAAGAGGCCCCCAAGAGGGTCCCCTAACGGCCGAAGAGGGCCCCAAGACGGCCCAAGACGCCTCCAAGACGGCCCAAAAGGCCCCCAAGACGGCTCCAGGAGAGTGCCCAGACGAGGGACCCGAACGGACATTTCGAGCTCTCAGCCCAAGAGGCCCCCAAGAGGCCCCGAAGACCCCCTAAGAGGCCCAAGAGGCTCCCAAGGGCCCCCCAAACTGAAGACAGTCCAGGAGAGCCCCACATTGCCTAGGAGGCCTCCAAGAGTGCCTCGAGACGGCGCAAGAGGAGCCCTGGACGGCCCAAGACGACCTCAAGAGAGCCCCAGGCTGTCCCAAGAAAGCCTCTGGCCTCCTCCTCTTCCTCCCTCCACATCCTCCGCTCCTCTTCCTCCTCCTCCTCCTCCTCCTCCTCCTTCCTTTCCCCTCCTTCCTCCTCCTCCTCCTCCTCCTTCACTTCCTCCCCCACTCCCTCTGCCCCCCCTCCTCCTGCTCTCCCTCCTCCTCCTCCCCTCCTCCTCTTGCTTCTCCTCCACATCCTTCTCCTCCCCCCTCCTCCTCCTCCTCCCTCATCCACCTCATCCACCCTTCCTCCACCTCCCACTCATCCTCCTCCCCCTGCCCCCCCTCGTTTTCATCTTCGTCGTTCCCAGGGTCGGCGGCACCGGCCGTAAGGCCTTCGCAATAGTCAACAAAAATACTCTCACATTTTCAAACAAGAAATACAGCAGTAAAAATCGTCCCTGGACTATTTTGGTATTCTTCTTGAATGTTCTCCTGTTGAGGGACTTGCCCGACTTAAGCTTAGAATCTGTCCCCGAACTCCCCCGCCGCGTCCGTGCGCGCGAACCGGTGCGGCTTCCCCGTGTACGGCAGGTTCGTGTCGTGACGATCGCAGCGTTGGCTTCTGACACCGCGTGGATCGTGCAGCCTTGAACGATCGGCGGCTTTTCGATGGCCCGATCGTTCCTTCAATAATCAACAACATCTTCGAAAATGGTAAACATTGTTCAAAAACGTTCAAAACATCGTCCCTAGATCATCTTCTGACTGGTTTGGACTTTCCCTCCTGTAGAGGGACATGCCCGACTAAAAGTTTATGCCGACTCTGGGCCACTGGCGGCGTTCAACTCGGGCTGGGCGAAAGGGGGGGATAGCAAAGAGTTTTTTTTTTTTTTTTTTGTCTGAGCGGAGCACTGCGGTCGCATACACGGTCCGCGCGCCTCGGGGCTCGGGAGGGCGGGCGTCGGCCTTCGCCGCGCAAAAAGCGCACCTCCGGGCCATGTCTGCTGGGCGGCGAGCCCTCGCTGGCCGCCGAGATGTAATAAGAGGCGCGGTGCAGGACCAGCGCCGCGGGAGCATCTGAGGCGCACAGCCCGCGAGAGGAAGCCAGCCTGGAGCGTGCCCGGCACGCACGCGGGCAGGAGGGGGCCACGGCCTAGTCGACATTGGTGGCCAAGTCCTGGATGAAGAAACAGAAGCTGTCCGCGTTCCGGAGGGCCTTGAGGGGCGCCTTCCTTGCCAACGACATGCACTCGCTGCGCCCATACGCCAGCTCCTCGCACTCCTCTTCGGGCTCCACGTTCAGAACCACTTCGTCATGGTCGCGGATCTGCAACACGGTGGCATCCCACACTTTCCCATCCCAGTGAACCGGTACTTCGTCACCGTACCCGACGTCGGGGTCATCTAGTTCAGACTTGACTTTGAGTACTTTCAGGTTCCGTTTCGATTTGTGGTAATGCATGACAGATTTCGCACACACGTCGTCGGTGAAAGCTGTCCCATGGTGCGAGGCCTCGTGAGTGAGTGTCTCACGCCTTTCCTTCTTTTTCGCCATGAACAAATCGCACAAAAACACCTTGAACTTTCCGTTCTCATCCCTCGCATCACGATCGGGGTCAGGCATGACAAACGCGTATGTGTCCTCATCGCAGCCATCGGGCGAATGATCGTGGATGTAGTTCGCATTCGCCAGCACGTGCGTGACGGAATTGAGGATGCGGAGGATCTCCTTCCTGGTGAAGGGATGCTTGGGCGAATTCGGGCCGAACCACTTGACCATGTACTTCTCCGTGCGCGGGTCCCGGACGTGCCGGATGGCGTGCGCGATGTCCGCGATCGCCCCCGCGGAGGCCTCCGCCACGGCGGTCTCGAAGCTCTCGCTCGCGGGCAGCCTCCTCGCGACGGCGCCCGCCTCCTCGCCCCCAGCAGCAGACCGCCTCACGCCGAATGACGGGTTTGGGGCCGGGAAGATGCGGAACAAATTCGCCACCTTGAGCGACAGCTCGTGCGTGTCGTAGTCGATGGCCAGGTCGTGGCCGTCGGTGTGCGTGTTCTTGTGGCCGTGCTCGTGCGGCCCATGGGGGCGGCCGTCTCCCTCGCCCCCGCCGTCGCTGCCGTCTGGGCCGCCCTCTCCGGCACCCGCTCCCTGGCCGATGTCCATGTCGCACCGGATGTTGCCGTCCTGGCCGTCCACCTCGTAGCAGGCGGTGTCGCTCTGCGCCGGCATCTCGCCACTCTGGCTGAGGAAGCCCACGACTGTGTAGCAGAGAGACGTGCAGTCCACGCGGTCCTCGGAGTAGCCGAACGCGCGCCACAGGGCTTCACACTGCTCGGGGGTGGCCGAGGTGAGCTCCTCCAAGTCGGACCTCGACGTGGTGTCCCCGTCGCCGATGAGCTGGCAGGTCTCCTTCACGATGGCCTCGTCGCACAGCGGCAGCTTCTCGGCGGCGGCGAGGCCCCGCCCCGCCAGCGCTCCCGCGCCGGCCGCCAGGGCGGCGAGGCGGGCCATGGCCGGGCGGGCCGGGCTAAGGCGGGGCTGTCCCCGCGCAGGCGGGCCCCACGCGGCCAGCGGGGGGCAGCGAGGCGGCCTCTTCTACCCGCTGCTGCGGAGTCGATGTCGGATGCTGCCGGTGGCTGCGGCCTTGAGCCAAAATGGCTACGGAGGGGGATAGCAAAGAGGGGAATTGAGAATCAGCTCCAATGGCTGATTTTCCCGGCGCCTCCCGGCGCCGGAGGCGGCCATGTATCGAGGAATGGGCCCCTCGGTGGGGCCGAAACCAGCTACATGCAGCAAATTTCGTACCCCCCCCCTTCCCTATCCCCCCCCTTTCTCGGCGGTGGACAAACCTCTCTTTAGCAAACCACCCTTTAGTGAACACGGCCTCGGACCGAAACCGACGGACCCGGACCCGCAAAAAGGACGGCCGCGACGCCCCCTCGCGAACCGAAAACGGCCAATTCGCTAATCGACGGGTCAGAGTAGGAGGTCTATCAACCTCCAACTTTCGTCCGGCCCGATTCGGGCGTTGGCAGAACTGGGTTTAATGGAACCTGGTCTAGTGATCTGTACCGGGGGCGCCCCCCCCGTCCCATTTCCACTAACCGGAACTGCCGTCACCCGAAAAACACCGGTTGCGGCAAACCTGGTTTAATGATTCTGGCCAACTGAGGGGCCCCAAGGCCCTACAGTCGGGGCGCTGAACAAGGAACCCTTTTCGTTGGGGAGGGGCTCCGCGTTCCTTAAGCGTTTCGCAGCTTGCCTCAGGTTTTCCTTCTGTTCTCGATCGGAAGTCGAAGTTTAACGTACGGGCAAAAAGGGGCCCCGTTCCTTATTTTGGGTTCCTTAGGTCAAGGCCCCGACTGTACCACTAATCGGGTCCCCTTACCCGGGGTCCTGGCCATACCCGAGACTTTCGTCCGGCCCGATCAGCCTGGAACGCCCGCGGCGGGGCCGCCGCCAGTCGACGCGGCGCGAGCCTACCGCAGGGCACAGCCCGGGCCCGGCGTGGGCCTCCACGAGGCCGAGGGCGGCAGCCCGCCGCCGCTCATGTCTTATGTGATTAGTTGGCTGCCTGCCAGACCGCCCCAACCCGACCCGAAGACCCGATTTTCGGGTTGGGGGGCCTCCTCCTCCTCCTCCTCCTCCTCCTCCTCCTCCTCCTCCGAAGACCCGATTTTCGGGTTGGGGGGGGGGGGCATGGGCTCCATGTGTGTGTTTTCGATGTTCCCAGACCCCCCCCCACGCTGGAGATGGCCATCGCTCGGACGTCCATTCCCTGTGTTTTTGTTGGTTTCGTGCGTGTTTTTTTCGCCGACTGATCAAGGATGCTCCTCGAGGGCCCTCGCCGAGACAAAAATGCACACGTCCGAGCGATGCCAGGGAATTCGCTGCCTGCCAGACCACCCCAACCAAACCCGAAGACCCGACTTTCGGGTTGGGGGGGGTTGTGGGCTGCATGTGTGTTTTGTCGATGTTCCCAGACCCCCCCCCCACGCTGGAGATGGAGGGCGAATGGAGGCCTTCGGGTTGGGTCGGGGTGGCTTGGTGGGTGGTGAATAATTGCTTGTTCCCCTAACCGCTGCCCAACAACACCTGTTGCCCCAAACCAACGGCGGCCGCTGTTGGGCAGGCGGCCTTCTGGCTCAAATGGACGCAGGCCGCGACGACACCGACAGCGAGTCCTGTTCAAAATGAAGAGGAACTGCCGTCGTTCCTTGTGCCCCATCTTTCCGTGCCAATTTCGATCGCCCCGAAAAAGTGAAGGGGCCCTGGGACACACACAAATGAATAGACACAAGTGACAGGATTCCCCATATTTTCCCATGCTCTCTGGAGCTTTGTCTTCCCCCCGCATGCCTATATTTTCCAATCTGTTTCTTGGAAATCGTCGATTCATCGTGTCTGTGTGAATTTTTCCCTCCCGAAAACAGGGGCCCCCGGAGGCCCCGACCCTCGCCCTGGGGCCGGACTGTCGCGAGTCGCTCTTTGCCGGCCCCGGGGCCCAACGAGGGCTCCCAGAGACCGGAAGCGGCCCCAAACCGTCCGTTCTTTGATTCTTCAGGGGGGGAAGGAGGAGGAGGAGGAGGAGGAGGAGGGGAGGAGGAGGAGGAGGAGGAGGAGAGGAGGAGGAGGAGGAGAGGAGGAAAGGAAGGAGGAGGAGGAGGAGGAGGAGGAGGAGGAGGAGGAGAGGAGGAGGAGGAGGAGGAGGAGGAAGGAAGAGGAGCCAGCAGGGGCCCTAACAAGGGCTCTCAGAAACCGAAAACGGCCCAAAATAGGGGGCCACGGCGAACCCTACCCCTACCCCCCGCGATTTCTGAGACGGAGGGTGGGGTTCACTTCGCTCGGGAGCTCCCGCACGAAGTGAACCCCACCCTCCGTCTCAGAAATCGCGGGGGGTAGGGGTAGGGTTCGCACGTGGCCTCCTACCAAACCATCCGTTCTTTGATTCTTCAGCACCGTCTGGCCTTATGTCGGGCGTGTCCCCCTACAAAGGGATTTTGGGCGAAACATAAAAAATACCCCCCAAAATATTTCAAAATTGTCAAAAATATTTAAAAATAGTCCCCTGACTATTTTTTCAAAAGCTATTTTTGAATATTCCCCCTGTAGAGGGACAGGCCCGACTTAAGCCTAACGACGGCTCCCAGAGACCGAAAACGGCCCCAAACCATCCGTTCTTTGATTCTTCAGCACGCGAGCACGTCTGGCCCGCGGCCGCGGCTGGATGAGGAAAGCCACAGCGAAAACTCGCGACTGCTTCCCCCTCCCAGCCGCAGCCGCCGCGACCCCGAGCGGGAACATACCTGGAAGCGCATGCAAGCCGTGCGCTTTCTATCGCCTCATCTTCCCCTCCCCTCCCGCGCTGCTTGCCGCGCGCTGGCTCTCTGGGGGCGCTCCGAGAATCCTGCTCCCTCAGCTCCCCCGCCACGTCTGGGCGCGCGAACAGGTGCAGCTTCGCCCCCGCGGGCGCGCGGCCCGCCACGGCGGCCGCTGCGCCGGCGACGGGGCCGATCTTCAGGCGCGGGCTGCCCGCGGCGAAGCCGTCGGCCAGGCCCGGCAGCAGCGCGGCGATCTTCGCGGAGGCCTCCTCGGCGCCCATGGTGCTCGAGAGGATGTAGAAGGGCATGCACGCCTCCTGGTGAACCGCGATGGGTCTGCAACAGCCGCCCCAGTGATGACCGCTGCTTGTAAAACTGGGGAGCTCCTATTGAGGGTTGCCGACACGAGCAGTCATTCAGGGGCGCTATACGCACGGGCGGGTTCTCCAAATAACCCCCAAAGAACCCCCCGAGAACCCCTGGAGAACCCCCGGAGATCTCGAGAACCCCAGCAAAAAACCGGAGAAGCCAAAGAACCCGGAGAACCCGGAGAATCAAAGGACCTGGAGAACCCACAGAACCCGGAGAACCCTGGAGAACCCTGGAGAACCAGAAGAAGCCGGAGAACCATGGAGAACCCCAGAGAACCCAAAGAACCCCGGGAAAACTGGGAGAAACCGGAGAACCCCAGAACCCAAAAACCCGGAGAACCCCGAGAATCCCGAGAACCCCGGAGAATCCGGAGAACCCGGAGAACCCAAAGAACTCGGAGAACCCCGAAAAAACCCGGAGAACCCTGAGAACCCCAGAGAACCCCAAAAACCTGGAAAACCTGGAGAACTCCGGAGAGGCTGGAGAGGCCCGGAGAACCCCCCGGGAGAACCTGGAGAACCCTGGGAACGCGGAGAACTCTGAGAACTCGCAGAACCCGGAGAGCCCAGAAAATCCTGGAGAACCCTGGCGAACCCTGGAGAATCTCCGGAGAACCCCGAGAACCAAAAGAACCCGGAACCCAAAAAACCCGGAGAACCCTGGAGAATCCCGGAGAACCCCAGAGAAGAAGATGATTTTTGCTCTGGTGGGGCATGCAAGGACGCGGGTTCGAACTTAAGCTCCCACGTGCGGCTTGCGCCACGCCGTCCTTCGACGGAACCCCTGAGCCGAAAAGCCTACTGTGAGTGCCATAAAACATGCATGGGAGAAACGAGTGGGCCCTCAGCGCACCATCGAACATGTGACGCCCTACGTTGCGGAGTACCCCCCGGAGAATCGAGCTCGACCCCCAAATCATCAGCGAGCATGCGACGCAGTACCTTTCGGAACGCCTTCAACATCAGGGTGTGGCGACAAGGGGGCGTGCAAAAGAAAGCCTTTCTGATCTTACGCCAAGGGCAACCCAGACGGCGGAGTTCCAGAGAAAATTCGGCATATGCTGAAATTTCTCCGACTTGAGTCGTGGATAGCCTCTGAAATCGTGCTATCCGTCCTTGCGCACACTGCACACTAACCTGGGAATCCAGCAGCAGCGACCTCACGTGTGGGATGATCCTCGTCACGGCCTGCATGGGAACGCCTCCCCATGCAAACGTTTCATCGTGATTGTGCGGGCGGATCTCGATATACGAACCATTGATGCGCCAATGGGAATCTAAGAACTTGAACTCCGGAACGACTTCCTCAAAATCAGCGTGCAACCCGTCTGGCACGATGTGCTGAACGGCATGTCGGGTGCAGCGCCGGCGAATCATCGCACTGAGGACGCTCACGTCGTCAACGTGCAACATCGGAACAATGATTTCGTCCACTGGAATGCCAAGTGCTCCAAGCCCCGTGCGGCACAAAATAACTGGGTCGAAGTACAGGCGACGAGTTCGAGCATTCATCATCACGGCTGCGAGCACCTCAGACAATGAGTTCCCAGTAGGAAGCCCATGCTCGAGTTGAAGTAGCAAGTTCCCAAGCGTGTAATACCGATTCTGGAGCTCAAACGCGACTACCGACTGGAGCTCGGAGAAGCGCAACACTTCGGACTGCGAGTTGGGGTTGTCTGGGATGCCTGCCAAATGGCATCACCCCGAACGTGACCGAGACACGGAAACGGTGTTCCGACCCCGCATTAACTCAATCCTTGAAAAAAGTTCATCCAAGTCAATCTGGGCTTGGTCGCTCGAAGCGTTGGGGAAGAAAGAGTCGATGTCCAGACGACCGCCTTCAATGCACGGCTTAGTCCCACCGCATTGGCAGCACTGAAATGAGGTTGGGCTCGGCCTCAAGCGCGAGAGACGCTCCGAAGCGACCTGGACGAGATTGTGCGTTGACCCGATAGTCCAAGAACATAGCGACTCAGACTTCATGCAAGTGCGGACGCCCCGCGCCACCAATCTGCCAATGCGACGAGTTGGAGCCGTAGGCCTTGCGCAAACTTGTCGATGATGATGGTGACTGCGAGTGCAACCAAACCTCTGTCCGTCGAAACATCTCTTCTCGACGTCGAGATAAACATAGCCGCAATTGCGAAGATGTCTCAAGTGAAACGGGTCTCCGCCTCGTTCTCCTGATCCTCCTCGCCGTCTAAAATCAGCTCACGTTCCCTACTGTCGCACGATCAATTAGACACTTTGGGGGTTCTGCGTCTCAAAGGTAGCAAGAGCCGGCATCGAAGGATCAAAACACACTGTCGCAAACCCGTGGCCAAAAATGGCTGCGGACATCGAAGGATGAAAAGGCAACGTCGCTACGAACGTGTGGCTGCTACAAGCCAGGTATCCCTGTGGCAACTTTTCTGGCACCTCTCCTGATCATCCGCCTCGTCCTCCTGACCCTCCCGTCGTCTAAAACCCACCTCACCTTCCCTATTGCCGGGCGAACGATCGAACACTTCGGGGCTTCCGCGTCTCCATGATAGCAAGAGCCGGCATCGAAGGATCCAACAGCAACGTCGCTACGAGCGCGTGGCCGCCAAAGGCCAGGTATCCCTGTGATAACTTTTCTGGCACTCCTCCTAATCCCCCACCCCGTCCTCCTGATCCTCCTCCTCCTCCTCCTCCTCCTCTTCCTCCTCCTCCTCCTTCTCCTCCTCGTCCTCCTCCTCTCCCTCCCCCTCCTTCTCATCATCATCGCCATCACAGTGCCTCAGGAAGGTGAAGCTGACCTGTTCTACGACGGTGTAAGCCCAGCTCACGATCCCTCTTGTCGAGCGAGCAATCAAACACTTTGGGCTTTTTGCGTCTCAATCATAGCAAGGGCCGATACCGAATGATGAGAAAAACGCGTCGCTGCGAACGCGTGGCTGCCACAAGCCAGCATCCCTGTGGTAACTTTTCTGGCACCCTTCCTCATCCTCCTCCTCGTCCTCCTGATCCCTTTCCTCGTCCTCCTCCTCCTCCTCCTCCTCCTCCTGTCACGACTACGACGACGAGAGGAGACCCCCAGGAAACCCCGAGGGAAGCAATGAGCCCCACGGCCACGACGGCGTCCCTCCGCCCATCTCAAAGCACCCATCACACGGATTGTGCGCCGGTTGACGTGCCCCTCTGTGGGAGGATTCGCGTAACATCACGCGCCTCCAGGGCGACTGGGTTTCTCACGCGGATCATGTCCCAGTGGGAGCTCCACCGACACGCGGAAGCCAACGTGCGAATACCGCCCTCCCGCCCATGGCGGTACACCCCTGACCTCGACCGCGAGTTCGGGGTGTTTTGGTTACTTCCCGGCGCCCCGCAGCATGTTTTTGTGGAGCCTCGGGAAGCCCTGAAATGGATCTTGCAGAACGTAGACACGAGAAGTCCCATACGCTAATGGGGGCCTACTGGGACGCCTCCTGGGAGCCTTTCGGAAGCATTGTGGGAGTCTCCGGGACCTCTCAAGGCCTTTCTTGGGAGTCCTTTTAGGCCTTTTTTGGCCCGTCTGGGGGCCCGTTTCGGCCGTCCCCGATCCCTCTTGGCCCGTCTTGGGGAGCTGAGCCCGTCTTGGGGCCCTCTTGGGACCCTTTCCGACCATGTAGGGATCCTCCGATGGCCCCCTCGGGCCCCTGGGGACTCTCTTGGGCCGTTTTGGAGTTCTCTTGTGCTGCTTGAAGCTCTCTTCAGGCCGTCTTGGGGTCCTCTTGGGAACCTTTCGGGTCGTCTGGGGCCGATTTTTGGGTGCCTTTTGGGCCGTCGTGGCCACTTTCAGGATTGAAAAAGCGAATATCCTGGAAGTATATGTTTTTCCATCGGAAATGCTTGACTTTTGCCCTTGGGGGGCCTTCTCGGCGGCCTCTTGGACGGTCGTGAGGGCCTTTTTGGCTGTCTAGGAGCAGTCTTGGGCTGTCTTCGAGCGCTCGTGGGCCGTATTGGGGCCACCGCGGTGCGCTCTTCAGCAATGTTCCAGACAACCTGGGGCGCTTTGGGAGCCTCTTGGGCCAGCTCGGGGGCCTTTGAGGGGTCTGGAGCCCCTTCTAGGCCCTCTTGGAGCCCTTAATGCCCCCCCTCGGACCCGCCGCAAACCAATGGTCGTGGTTCCAGGCCCTCCCCCGGCCTACTCCGATACACACATATCTAGATTCACATATACACGTATAAACATACATACATATATATACACACCTATATATATATATATATAGGAACTATAGATCGACGCGCGCGCACACACACATATGTGTGTATATATATACATGTGTGAATTTATGCATACAGGTATGTTTGTATGCATGCATGCATACATGCATGCATGATATTATGCATGCATGCATGTATGTTTGTATGCATGTATGTACTTATGCATTACTGGGTATATATGTATATATATATATATATTCGAATGCGTACGCACGTATCGGTAAACATATGTTTTGTGTACAACGTTGTTAGACATATATCAATGTATCTATATATGTCTATGCATGCATGCGTGCATGCATGTATGTATGTAAGTAGGTAGGTAGGTAGGTGCATAGGTGTGTATACATGTGTGTATGTATGCATGCATGTATGCATGTGTACATGCATGCGTTCATATCATGCATGCAAGTGTGTATGCATATGTATACATGTATGTATGCATGCATGTATGTATGTATATGTGCATGTATGTATGTATGTATGTATGTATGTATGCATGCATGCATGCATGCATGCATGTATGTATGTATGTATTTATGTATGTATGTATGTATGTATGTATGTAGAGATAAATATGTGTATTAGAACAATCGCGCGCTTTGCGCGCGTTCATATTCCAGCAGGCCCCAAGCCTTGACGAGTTAACTGCTCCACTGAAGTAGTGGACCACGGATGGTTTGAACGGGAAGTGAAGACGTGCCCATAACGCTGAACGCAATATGGGCAATGAGAAGCCAACTGATGTCAATCCGCATTCTGGAAGGCTTTTGGGGAAGATGCTTGCGTAGGAGGGCGCGGGCCTGATGAATCGGGTTCCTAGAAGGCCTTCCGGGAACATGGGTTTTGAGGGCGTCTTGTGGAGCCTGTTGGGGCGTGCCGTCGTCGTCGTCGTCGTCGTCGTCGTCGTCCTCCTCCTCCTCTTCGTCGTTTCGTCGTCTTCGCCGTCGT